CATCACACCTCACTCTCTGCCTATATATATAATGTCTTTCTACCTCTGTATGTTAGAAGTGATCAAGGTCCCAGGACCGAAACGTTTTCTAATAAATATGTCAGTGGTCAGTCGTCAGTACTCAGTGGTCAGTCGTCAGTACTCAGTGGTCAGTCGTCACGTGAGGTCACAGACCCTGAGCTGCCTTGGGGATTAGTGTGGACGGTTACAAAGCATGGCTTGCTTCTGCAGTGTTTTAAAAATTGAGGTTGGAGAGTTGAAGGAGGAGGTCTTGCTTCTCCAGGAGGAGATTAGGAGGCTGAAGGTCCACCTCAATGGGTCTGGGAGAGAGTGTGAGGGCTGGAGTTGTGGGGAATGAGGCTTCTAGCAGCGAGGTGCAGTCTGTCTCTCGCTGTGAGGAGGCTGTAGTTGGGGAGGCAGCAACGGCTACCAGCAGTGAGGTGCAGCCCAGCACCTGCTACAAGTGGCGAGTAGTTCACAGTAATGGAAGGCGCATCAGAGTAAGGAAAGTTAAGAGTGAAGATCTGAAGGTAGGAAATCGCTTCGCTTTTTTTCAGGATGAATGTATTTCAGTGGCCATAAAGGTAAGGGTTACTTGCCCCTGCTAAGGGGGGTAAGCGATTCTTGTGGTTGGGACTCTCAGGTAAGATACATTGACCGGGGCTTTTTGTAATGGGAAATAAAAGATGAGGTAGAGTGTGCTTCCCCGGGTGGTGTTGGGGACATTGTCAAAGGCTGGATAATATCATGTAGGGAAAGGAGCAAAACCCCTTTTCTGTCTCAGTGTGGTGGAAATGTATTGGGAAGGGTAGGAGAGAAGAGCTGCAATAAAGACAGGTCAGCTATGATTTCATTAAGTCTAAGGGAGGGACCCCAATCAATGTAGCATCTTGCCTTAGAAGGGGAGTGGGAAAAATGAATGGTTGTTAGGGAAATTGGTAAAAATTGTGGTAGACGTACTGCAAGGAACTTGCAATCCCATTCTTTGACAATGGAACAACTTTTATGGCAACAATATGTTGCAAGGGATGGGGTACATCTCTTGGGGCTGGGGGGGTGCACTTGCAGACTCTTTGAGAAGGCTTGGTAAAATCCCTATGTTTTTAATGAGGGAAAGTAGAGGTAGGGGGTTTTGTGTGGGAAACAAGCAGGTTGAACATTGGGTTGGAAAACAGTAAATGTATAAAAGGCATTCAGCAGAAGTTAAAAATAAAGACAATAGATCGGTCAGCAAAAAAAGGGGGACAGCAGGGGCAGCAAGGGCTAGCCCCCTTAAGGTTTACTATATAATAGCGGGTGTAAAGAAATAAGATAGATAGCTAAGATTAATGCAGGGCGGAGACATAGATTTTTGCATCAGAGACCTGGCTAAATCTAAAAAGATAGAGGATGCCCTCTGAAGTCACAACAAGGTATAAATTTTTCCACACTGACAGGGTCAAGGAAAGGTGGTGGGGAGTGCGTGTATTCGAGACCCAAATTTTTAAAGTTGTGTTAGACAAGTTTTTAAAATTTGAAGCGTCGCCCCTGAATTTTTGGTTACGCTTCTCGAGGGCGAGAAAAAACTAATTTGGGTGTGATTTACGGGCCCCAAAAACTTGGGGGGGGCAGTAAAAATTTTAGGGACGAAATTTGAAGGCATCTACATACGAAAATGTTGTGTTTTGGGAGATTTCAACTATAGAAGATTGACTGGAGCAAATTTTACAGGAAAAATTTTGGTCAGGTGACTTCTTGTCGATCCAGGATTGTTTTTTAAAAAAAGTTTTTGAAGAGCCAATAGGGGAAAATAAAACCCCCTTGACTTGGTTCTTGCCGTAGGGAAACACTAATTAAAAAATCTTGAGGTTAAGTGAGCTTGGGGGGAAAATGATACAAATCACTCAGTTTTAAATATCAGGAATTCCCCTAATAATGGGAATCAAAGTCTCCCTCCTGCTTTGCTTGGTGATTTCATGGGACTGAAAAATTACTTAGGTGGGCTGAACTGGAAGGGCCCTGACTAAGGGTCAGGTAGGTGGTGATGGTTGCCGATATGATGCTTTCCAGGGCATAGTTCTAGCTGCTCAGTCAAATTTGTTCCAAATAGGGAAATCAGATCAAACAAAAATGATCCTAAATGGATGAACAATAGATTAAAATATCTGATTGGTCAAAAGAGAGGCATATATAGGCAAATCAAAAGAGGAGGGGGGCAATTGAGAAATCGATATATTCAGTTAAAGAGAGAAATAAAAAGGGAATTAGAAAGAAAAAAGAGATTATGAGGTTAAAGTTGCAAGAGAATCGAAGACTAACCCAAAAGGATTCTTTCAGGTATACAGAATTTAAGATCAGTGACAAGATAGGCCCACTCAAAAGTTCCTCGGGTCAGTCCTGACAGTGATAAGGAAATGTGTAGAATTTTTAACACATATTTTCCTCTCAGTTTTTACACAGGAGGATACCAGCGATATTCCAGTAATGATAAATTATGTAGAACAGGACGAAAATAACTGTGTACTAAATTTGGGTCACAAGTGACATGGTCCTTAGGCAAATAGATAAATTAAAACCTAACAAATCCCCAGGCCCTGATGAACTGTATGCAAGGGTTCTAAAGGAATGTAAAGAGGAGCTTAGCACACCTTTGGCTAATCTTTTCACATATCACTACAAATGGCATGGTGCCAGATAAGTGGAAAATGGCAAATGTGATACCTATTTTCAAAACAGGTGACAGGTCCTTAGCTTCGAACTATAGACCAATAAGCCTAACCTCCATAGTGGGAAAATTTATGGAATCAATAATTGCCCAGGCAGTTCGTTAGCCACCTTGAAAAGCATAAATTAATCAACGAATCTCAGCATGGTTTTACAAAAGGGGCGTTCCTGCCTTACGAAATTTTTTAACTTTTTTCACTAAGGTATTTGAGGAGGTAGATCATGGTAATGAATATGATATTGTGTATATGGACTTCAGTAAGGCTTTTGACAGGGTCCCACATCAGAGGGCTATTGAGGAAAATTAAAGGGACATGGAATAGGAGGAGAAAAATTTTTTTCCCGGATAGAGGCTGGTTGACAAATAGGCAGCAGAGAGTTTGCATAAATGGGGAGAAATCAGAGTGGGAAGTGTCACGAAACGGTGTTCCACAGGGGCAGTGTTGGGCCCCTGCTGTTCACAATCTACATAACGACATAGATAGGGCATAAAGAGCCCACATCGGCAAGTTTGCCGATGACACCAAAATAGGCCGTCGAATTCATTCTGACGAGGACATTCGAGCACTCCAGGAAGATTTGAATAGACTGAGCAGTGGTCGGAGAAGTGGCAGATGCGTTTAATATAGACAAATGCAAAGTTCTAAATGTTGGACAGGACAATAACCATGCCACATATAAACAAATAATGTAGATCTTAATATTTCGGATTGCGAAAAAATTTAGGAGTTCTGGTTAGCAGTAATCTGAAACCAAGACAACAGTGATAAGTGTTCGCAATAAAGCTAATAGAATCCTTGGCTTCATATCAAGAAGCATAAATAATAGGAGTCCTCAGGTTGTTCTTCAACTCTATACATCCTTGGTTAGGCCTCATTTAGATTATGCTGCACAGTTTTGGTCACCTTATTACAGAATGGATATAAATTCTCTGGAAAATGTACAAAGGAGGATGACAAAGTTGATCCCATGTATCAGAAACCTTCCCTATGAGGATAGACTAAGGGCCCTGAATCTGCACTCTCTAGAAAGACGTAGAATTAGGGGGGATATGATTGAGGTGTATAAATGGAAGACAGGAATAAATAAAGGGGATGTAAATAGTGTGCTGAAAATATCTAGCCTAGACAGGACTCGCAGCAATGGTTTTAAGTTGGAAAAATTCAGATTCAGGAAGGATATAGGAAAGTACTGGTTTGGTAATAGAGTTGTGGATGAGTGGAACAAACTCCCAAGTACCGTTATAGAGGCCAGAACGTTGTGTAGCTTTAAAAATAGGTTGGGTAAATACATGAGTGGATGTGGGTGGGTGTGAGTTAGACCTGATAGCTTGTGCTACCAGGTCGGTTGCCGTGTTCCTCCCTTAAGTCGATGTGACCTGACCTGACTAGGTTGGGTGCATTGGCTTAAGCCGGTAGGAGACTTGGACCTGCCTCGCATGGGCCAGTAGGCCTTCTGCAGTGTTCCTTCGTTCTTATGTTCTTATGTTCTTAGTGTTTGCTTACGTGTCTTTCTAAACCAGACTCCAGGTTATGTAGAGCATTACGGACAAGTTGGGATAATTGTGTACCCAGGATACGACTCACATCAGTCGTCTAACACCGAAGTTCCTACTTACTGCTAGGTGAAGGGGGACAGCAGGTGTCTTAAGGAATCACACCTAATGTTACAACCCATACCGGGGATCGAACCACGGCCCTCAATGTGTGAGCTGAATGCGCCACCAACCCAGCTACTTAGAAATTTAAGTATTCTGCATATATGTAAACAGACAGTTTGAGTCCTAATGACATACGAGCATTGTATGACTTAATGTGTGCAGTAAAGTTTATAATAGCAGGTTAGTATTAAGGATAGAGAGGAGTGTTGCTATTGGTCACTCAAACATCACGTGTTCACTCACGTGGCTGCCAACCCGCCTCATTTATTCATTTACTCTATATATTCATTTCCATATGTTTGATTTGTTGCATAGTCTTCACAAATAAATTTGCAGTTTGCTGTTTCAGTTTTAAATTTGTATTATATCTAAAAGACAGCTAGCAGACTTATATGAAAAATGTGGAAAAGAAAATATGATATACTGTATCGTAGGGCTGGCAGAGATCAGCGGCAGTTATCGTTTACTCAAGCTATTTCAGCAAACTTATTTATATACTATTGCACATTATTTTTTCGTCGAGTACTTATTTAAATAAGCATTTTATAATGAAGTGTCATGATTCATAACGAGAATATCGAGTAGGATGTTTATTCCAATTAAGTGACAGTTGCAGGAGAGACAGGCAGCCCCGCCCGGCATGCAAGCTGCTCAGTGTCGGTGTGACTCACCTCAGACAAGGACGGTTTATACACGACTCTCTCAGTGTAGGTGGTGTGTGTGTGCGCCTGTGTGTCACAGTATATCAGATATAATAATAAAGAAAAGTTACTAGGATTATGGCTGCGAGTAACGTTGTGTCAACTCTGCGCCGCAGTGCTCCATCGGTGAGTGTTGTCATAAAAACATTCGTTCACCTTTTTCTTTTCTTTCCCTTTTCCACTGTGTGTTGATGTTTAGATGACACAGAAACGAGGTCATATTGTTGCCACTGTTATTAGACAACCAAGTGGTGGCCAACTTTGCTTCCCTAAACTCCGCCCAGATGAATGAGGTTAGTATTGCAGGTAACAGACACTGTAATTTCCATTTGTAAGAATATTGGCCGAGGTGGAGTAAGACTTCCGTCACTGCTGGTGTCATCACTACACTAACCTTCACTCTTAGAAAGCCGGTCACTGTGGCTAGTGAACCATCTAATGTAGCGTTTCTCAACCCCTTTTTAATGTCCTCAAAGAAGGTTCCTTGACGCTGGCGAGGGGCTCGTGATCTGGGGAAATGGATCTTTTCCAGTAACCTGAATACCTCCCATCCGGTTCTCTGAACCATTCATCTACAAACCTCCCATCCTCCCCCCCCCCTACAGGCGCTGTATAATCCCTACTGTTTTATCGCTCCCTCATGATTATAATTATTATAATGAACCTGTTTACCACTGCGGAACCTAACATGATCTTCATGTCTCTGGCTTCCACTACATAAAAAGTATATATTATTAATATCTTGATAAACCTAAAGTTCATCAGGAAAATATATTTTTTTCTGGTAACTGGTTTAGTAAGCAAAAAATAACACGTTTTTCTCAAGTTTGACAGACCATGAGGTCTGGTCACAGACCGGGCCGCGGGGGCGTTGACCCCCGGTACTCTCTCCAGGTAAACTCCAGGTAATGCAAAAAAAAAAAAAACTGCTTGTTCCAGAGTTTATACAGAGGATTTTATTCACATACAAAATTAATCATATCTATAAACAAAAAAAAAAATAAAATAACCAATATCATATATAACACACACATAACGAAAACAAATAATAACTGCCACAATTACTTAATCGTTCATTGACAATGTTGAAAGGCATAAGATAAATGAAGACAAAATGTCATGAACAAATATATGGGTCAGGTGTATGTTATTTTTGAAGCCACTGGACCAGCTAGCCACAATAAGATTCGTCCAACTAGGTATATTTCTACATCATAGGAAGGTTAGCATAGGCACCACTGTGACCACAAATGCAAGTTTTTACAGACGAATCTCCAGCTAACGTGGCCGTGACGAACTGTAGCTCAAGTCCCCTCAATGCCGTCAACATGACTCACGAAATCGCAATGACACGATTGCTGGCTGGTCCAGTGGCTAACGTGATGGTCTGGAGTTTTGAGACTGACCGCGGATTCAAATCCCGCCTGTGGTATGGCTTGTTTGCAATCGTGTCATTACGATTTAAATAAACTACACGGACGCCATCTTCAGCTGAAAGGAGACGATTTCTGTCTTTTTCTCTTGATGCTTGTTAAGTAAGATAAAGCTTGCATACACATGTAAGAGGTTGAAAACTACAGCAATATATTTGTTGCTGTCCTATGAATGGCAGGATACTCTTCTCTCACAGATATCCAGAACTTACCCAGGGATAGGTCAGTAAGTCTCATCTTAAGTGTACGATCAGACTGCAGCTCATAAAGGTCTTCCATTTCTCTTAAAGTCAAGTTCACAGGATGAACGGAAGATTCAGAGTCTGGATCCCTCACCCAGTCATACACTTGTGCTGAGAGAAGGAAAATAATAATCGTTTTTCATCCACAGTTCTTTCAGGTGTTTCAATAAGACTTGAAATATGTGATATCCTTCTTCACTTTTAAGCCCCGGCAGTAGTTCAAACATCTCAAGATTTCCTTTCGCAACATGATTTTTCCAAAAAGTCGGTTTCTCAAATCCAAGACTCTCGTCACTTAGTACATTTTATCCAGGGCCTCGCAGCAGTGACATGTTCAGCTGATTCATGTGATGAAAAATGTCTGCTAAGTAGGCTAGCCTCCTCAACCATTTTTCATCTTCAAAGCACTTTGCAAAATCTTGCTTATTGTTTTCTTGAAAGTATTCCTGCAATTCATCTTCCAGCTCAAACACCATATTTAGAACTCTTCCTCTACTCAGCCACTGGATTTATGCATATAACCGTATGTGTATAGTAAAATTACGAATATCAAATTAAACACAAAAATGACTCAAAAACGCATTTACACATGATTAGTCTATCACTATTTCTCTCTCAACTCCTAGCTTGGAAGGTCCTGGAGGGATTGGTACCAAACCTGCACACGAAAATCACTCCCTATGAAAGCAAAAGACGGCAGGAGATGCAACATTCCCCCGATGAAAAGCAGGGGCGCCGCGAGTACACTGAGAGACAATACAATAAGTGTCCGGGGCCCAAGACTTCAATTGCCTCCCAGCATACATAAGGGGGATTACCAATAGACCCCTGGCTGTCTTCAAGAAGGCACTGGACAGGCACCTAAAGTCAGTACCTGACCAACCGGGCTGTGGTTCGTACGTCAGCTTGCGTGCGACCAGCAGTAACAGCCTGGTTGATCAGACCCTGATCCACCATGAGGCCTGGTCTCAGACCGGGCCGCGGGGGCGTTGACCCCCGAAACCCTCTCCAGGTAAACTCCAGGTAGCGACCTCTCGTGGAACCCCGGTTGAGGTCCTGAAGGCCATGATCATGTGAACAGAAACTCCACCTACTGGGTCATCATATGACTAAGATCATTGTCAGGAGAGATCCATATTTCTCATGGCATCAAACACCACTACTCCTACAGCTGCCCTCAGTAGAGGTTCCTTGATACTGGCAAGGGGCTCTCAATTTAAGGAATTTGACCTGTGTTTTAATTCCTTACCTGGAGAAGGTTTCGTGGGTCAACCCCCCCAGACCCGGTCCGTGACCAGTTCTTGCGATGGATCAGGGCCTGATCAACGGTGCTGCTACTGCTGGCCACAAGTAAACCGACGTACGAGCCACAGCCCGGCTGGTCAGGTACTGACTAGGTACCTGTCCAGCGCCTTCTTGAAGACAGCCAGAGGTCTATTGGTAAGTCCCCTTATGTATCGTGGGAAGCAGTTGAACAGTCTTGGGCTCCTGATGCTTATTGTGTTGTCTCTTAGCCTACTCGTGGGGCCCCTGTTTTTCATTGGGGGAGGTGGGAGAATGTTGCATCTCCTGCCAAGTCTTCTGCTTTCGTAGGGGGTGATTTTCGTGTCTGAATGTCTTTTAATTTCCTAGATGCAGTGTGGCATCTACTACTGGTTTAGAGCTCACAGATTTCGTGTGCTTTTTAAAACTAATTTTAGTATTGACGTTGTAATGATTTTTGTTTACGCTTTATATTCGGTGTAAGGTTGATTTACATTATTTTTTACCAGAAATATGTACAAACTCATTGTCGTTTATATAGTCATTACATTCTTATTATTGGCCATAAAACTAAAATTGTTTTAACGACAATGCTCAAGCCAGCATGTTAGGTTAATGTCACGAACAGGTGGAAAAAATGTTCTCGTCTTCATTTTACTGGGGTTAAAGTCTGTTTACAACCGCACTGTGTTATCCAAATCTACAGTGTGACTTTTTATAAGGTTTGTGGAGAAATTTTCTCCATGAGGGGGGGTATCAGCCCCCTTCAGCCCTGAGGGGCCCAGCCCTCTCAGAAGGGGCAAACATCTTGTTTACTGTTACAGCAAGTAAATGATCCCAGATGCTATACGAGTATGTGGCGTGGTCAAGCGACCGCCGCTCCTTGCAAGAGTCCAGTGTTGCAAAGTGTAGTTATGAGAGACAGTCCATCTCTTACCTTAGCAGGACAATTAAGGAAAATCCTGCTCCCACTTTATTACCATGGTAAAGATAGTGTACATTGTCTATGCTTAAGACAGCAAGAATCAAGCATTCTGCTTTGCTTCATGGAGGAAGTTTGGCAAGGAAGCAAAAAGTACTAGGTCAGCTTTTCCTTTATGTTCTAGGGGCATTGCAGCGGCGTAGGAGGCTGTGAGGTCAGATTACTTTTGACTCTACTGAGAGAGATATTGACGTGCCAGGATAACCAACAAAGAACAATGTTCCACGTGTTTTGCACAAAAGAATCTCAATAAACACGTACAGAGAATAGTGATCAGCTTCTTTAGTGACATTGTGGTGTGAACAATTATTGATGAACAGTGTAACAACGAGTGTTGCGATCCAACAGTGTAGTGTGACATTCTTCAAAGAACACGAAGGGATCTCCATTTATGATTTTTTTCTTAATAATGTACACCATGCTCAAAGTATATACATTCCCCAGAGAAAAATTAGGTCTAATAACAACGATCCCAAATGGGTTAACAGGAGGCTAAAGCATTTATTAGGGGAGAAATGGGGAATTTATAGGCGCATCAGAAGAGAGGTTAACCTTACTGACCTATATGTTCAGCTTAAAAGAGAAATAAAAAAGGGGATTAGAAAGGCTAAACGTGACTATGAAATTAGAGTTGCTAATGAATCAAAGACCAATCCAAAGGGGTTCTTTCAAGTGTATAGGACGAAGGTGAAGGAAAAAGTAGGACCTCTGAAAACTGGGAATGAACAGCTGACGGATAACGAACTGGAAATGTGTTTCATATTTAATGACTATTTTTTTGTCAGTTTTTACACAGGAAGACACTGGCTCTCTAATGAAAATAACTGGCCTCAGCAAAAAGCTCACATTATGCCATAAAAAACAGTCTGCTTGAACACAGCAGAAATAAGTTATGTAAATACTGCAGACACAACAGAAATAGTCATTGATGGATCTAAATACTCATCTTTGGGTAAACTCTTAAGAGTTACAGCTCTCGTCTTTAAATTCATTAAAAAAATAAAACCTAATTATGAATATCTTGAACCCATTAAATACTGGGTGAAACTAATGCAGAAAGATGTTTTCTCTACAGAATATAAATTTCTGGAAACACAAGATAAATCCCCGAGGAAAACTATTATGATTATTTCTTTAGGACTTGATCTCGACTCAGAAAAGATTATAAGATGTCGAGGAAGAATTCATAATTCTTCACAACCTAAA